TGGTGTCTAACTTTTTTAACTTACGACTATTGTTGTTTATTTATTTTAAATATATGTTATCATATATGTTATCATAATATAACATCTTAAACTTTTCGCTATTTTTTGTACTATTTTACGGAAAAAAATGAGTAGATATTATTAATAAAAAGAAATTATTTTGTGGTCGTATGAAAAATATTGTATTTCTTTTGCGTAAAAGTGATTTTTCACACTCGTGTGATTGCCGCACTCGGCTTATGCCTCATGCGACAATATTTCCACACTCTTAATGTAATATACTATAGAGTATGAATTAAAGATAAAAATATTTCAAACATTTTTCATATCTTCATTGCTAACTAAAATACTAAAAATACAAATGTTTCAGTTTTAGAGAAATCATATTGAAGGATATAAATTATAGAGAATGACATCACTAACAAATTTAATTAAAAAAAAATATAATCATAAATATGTAACTACAAAAAAAATATGCTTTGGAAAAGGTATCCTCCCCACCCCAGATGCTCAGACTGCCTAAAATTGAATCAGCTTATCACAGGATTGATTAAGTGTGTGTTTGCGAGCGTGCGTGTGCGTGTGTGGGTGTGCACGTGCGCGGGTGCGTGTGGGCGTGGGTCTGAGTGTGCGTGTGTGTGTGCGTGTGCGAGTGGGTGTGTGTGGGTGTGCGTGTGTGTGCGTGGGTGTGCGTGTGTGAGAGCGTGTGTGCGTGTGTATGTGATTGTTTGTGTATGTGTCTATGTGTGTGTGTGGGGGGGGGGGGGTGTTGGCATCGGAATGATCCATTTGCCACAGACTTTTATATAATTACGAATGTAAAAATTATATTTTTATATAACAAGAAAATTATGTTTTTTAAATATCTATATTAATTTGTTTTAAAAAAGTAGTCATTGAAAATATTTTTATTTGAGTGCTAAGTAAAGATGTAATATTTGAAGGTAGAGAAATATGATTTAAAGCTATAGTTTGTAATAGTTGTTCGGTATAACGTTTATGGTTATCACAGGAAAAGAAAATATGATTTAAGTCCTCAAGTGAAATATTGTCGCATAAGCAGAATGGTGATGGATTTATACCAATCTTCTGAAGGTGAGATGGAAATTTTGCATGGTTAAGTTTAAAACGTGTAATAGTTACTGCATATTTTCTTGAAAGGTGTGGAATGTGACGTGGTTATGTAGGGTGAATAAGTGTATGATTATTAGATTTTTCTGTGTAAACCACCCATTGTCTCTCCCAAGCAGTTCGTATTTCATTCTTTATTGAATTAATTAGGTCATTAAAAATTGAAAAGTTGTTGGTGAAATTGAGAGTGGTTGCTCTTTTAGCAAGGACATCCACGGTTTCGTTTCCATTTATTCCCTAATGACTTTTTACCCACAAAAAGGTTAGTTTGTTTCCCAGCAGAGATAGGGTATGCACATATCCTTTTATATTACATAAATTATGATATTTCTGTATTTAAAAAAATTAAAATTATCTACAGCCTTTAGAACAGATTTAGTCTAAAATAATAACAGCATTCTTGGTAGGATGGATTAAAGCTAAAGTTTAAAATTTGGTGTTTCTCTATCCATTTTTGAATTATCGTAAAAACGTAAAGATTAGTTGAAATAAAACAATCCTATACTTTCTTTGCTGTATACAGGAAAGTTAAAACTTGATTTGAAAAAAAAAAATACTTCTAAGCCTATCAGATTTGCATGAATATTTGAAATATTCAATTTTATAAAACAACCACAGGTACCATTATCACCTAGGCTCCGTTATCCAACAAATTTAGCAATTTTTGCTAAAAGTTCATTTAGTTGTTTTTCTAAATTAATATTTACCAATCCGTACATATACAGATATTTTCCGAACTCCAAAACATAAAATCAATATCTCGAGGTACAAAGTTGAGGCTATACCAAGGCTTTCCCTCATAACTTACATATTCTTTATGCTTACGCATATTTTGTATAGGTATAATTTTTAAAAAATTAAAAAATCGAATACAAAGCAACTTAATAACAGAAATGATAAGCAGTATATTATTAGTAAACGCCTAAATCCGGAACTGCGTATTTGAATTTCTCTTCGGTACTAATTTAGCGCCATCTATTAACGAAGCTCCCAATTAATCTGTGGCTACTAATATACATTATTAGGAAGTTTTCTTTTATACGCAAGATATTTTTTACACATAAATGGCTGTTTGTAATTTCTTCTAAAATTTACTTCAATGCGCTTTTAAGCAAATTGACGCAATTGATTTAGATCTTTTAAGTGACATTTGTTGCTTTAATATAAGACCTATTCAAAGAAGAATTATTTTCATCATCGGGTAATTGTTACTGGTATAATATTATCTTTATTTCATCGTAAAAATTACCTTATTTTGGGAATTATTTTTAAACGATCCCTTAAGTTAGAAAAACCAAAAACCTTTATTGAACAGTAGGATATATCTATTATTGGCAGGAATTTTTTCAGTTTTCTCCTTGTAGTTTCGGCTAAAAAGTCACTGAAAGAATGTTGTGTACGCTTATGTTAAATACATTGCCCACGCCCGGCCTTAAAAAAACACGTCGCGAGGTTATAACAACCGATTTTGAACTAGTTCCCGAAAGAACCAAAACAAGCCTACTGAGTATTTGTTTTTTTTTTTTAAGTAACAAAGAATTGTGTAGACATGCCGTAATATTCTTAACAAAACATTAGCCAAAGTTTTAAGAAATTGAACGCTTACAAACTTTCATTAATTTCCCATTTTCTTGCATTTTTTTTTACGAATCCACACAATTTTATTACATCGCTTTTGTTTAATTATTAACCTATGAACTTCATCAACACACTATTATTAGTTGAGAATATATCAAAATAGGTGCTGTAATAATAATCATACTCAGTCTAGTGACTGCTCATGCATTAATATTAAAGCTTAACTTCCATAAGCTATCAAACTAAATAAATTTCTTTAATTATATCTGTGTTAAATTTTCAAACAAATAAATGTACGTTAAACGTACGAGTATTTTTATAGTTCAATTTACAATAAAAAAAGTTTTACAGCATGTCTAAAAAATATCGTCAATGTATTTATTCAACCATAAAAAATAATTAGATATCTTGGGAATAACGTTTAAATTACAGTCTTATTGTACTTGTAGGAAGGATTCTATTGAACATAAAAATTACGCTTCAGTATTATGTGTTCATTGTCCATTACAATAAAAATTACATACTACAAAAAAGCCCTACTTAAAATTATACATATAAATCCCGGAAGAATCTTAAATCATTAAATACAAGTCAGTGACGTACTAACCGTTATTACGTTGATAAATTGTATCATAACTGAAGTTGACAATTCGCGATTCAAACTACTCGTAATTTTCGCGCACCTGTCATTTGTCACCAATAAATAGGATATTTGTTTATTTACATTGTGTTTGTTTTGGGCGGGATTTTGTAGTTGTGATTTTTTAATTATTTTTAGATAATATTATTATAATAGTGTTTTTGAGATTTATTTAGTGTTAATTTAAGTTTAGTTACCGTGCTTTCGTCATAAATATATATTTATCATGTGTTTATGACTAATTTGTTGGAAATCTTCACCTATCTAGACGCTAAGGAAATTTTAGGTACCTAACGTTTATTATTGATAAACTTAATAATTAAAAATCTTACTATCCTCATTCTTATATTATGAAGTGGGTGTAGTACTTTGTATATTAGGGTGAAGTGAAACAGGAAGAAAATATTTTTTATTTTCGAAACGTAATAGTGCGAAAAAGTTACTAAATGAAAGAATGATTAACGGGCTATTTTCTTAAAATAGAAAAACAACCCTCTATAAACCCATATATCACAAAAACACAGTAAATGTTTAAAAAATATAACAATGAATTTTTAATATATAAATATTACGAAACGCCCCAGAAACATTTCTGAAATGTTCCTGAAATCTAAAAATATCCTGTAAATGTAATATTTTTTATATTTCATAAATAATAATTTGAAACCTTTCAGAAATATAACATACTAATATTTCAGAAATGTATCCGACAACAGACGCAAACTTCCAATTATTTAGAATATATGGTTGTCTCTGTATATAGGCAAAATAAAATTATATTACTTTGTTAGAGTCAGCGAATTAGGATATCGCCGCCACTGGGGTCGACGGTACCACGTCTGCCCGTTGCAGTATCTGTTAGAGTCAGCAAATTAGGATATCGCCGCCACTGGGGTCGACGGTACCACGTCTGTCCGTTGCAGTGTCCAGGAACAGGAAAGCGGGGACTTGACTTTCGACCAGTCGAACGCGATGAAGTGATAGGCAATATGCCTTTAAAGACATTCTTTATTTTGTTCCTCAATTAATTACATTTCAAACATTGTTCACGAGATATTTAATAAAACGTTATAAAACCATGTTAACACGTCTTTTATGAAGTGGCTATACAGGGTGTTATAGTATACAGGGTGATAAATAATTTAAAAACAATAATTTTGAAGTTAATTCTTTTAACTTCTAACAACTTAAAATAAAATGACTACAATATAACCTTCTTCCTCTTCTTACAAATGAGAAATTTTTGGCCATTTCCAACATAACCCATTTTGTAACATTTTATGTAACATTTATAAAACCTTTTTAGTGAATTATTTAACAAAAATATTTCAAAAACTTGTACTTGAAATGTTATATGTTTTTTTATACGGCTTATTTTTTAGTTTAAACCAACGTTAATATCGAGGGGTTAGTTTCAATGGGAGTGTGTTGTACATTCCAATTGGGAGTGCATTGGGAGTGTATTGGGAGTGTATTGGGAGTGTATTGGGAGTGTATTGGGAGTGTATTGGGAGTGTATTGGGAGTGTATTGTGAGTGCATTGGGAGTGCATTGGGAGTGTATTGTAAGTGTATTGTGAGTGCATTGGGAGCATTTTTGAATGTTTTGGAACAGAATTAAAACCATTTTGTATATTTAAATTATTTATTTTGGCGTTTCAAATAGTTTAAATATAAAAACTATTTTCAGCAAGACAGTCACTAAGATAAAACAAACAAGCAAAATGTCAACCATATAACAAAAATAATATTCTTACTTAAAAAATTAAGAACCTATAAAAATATTTCACAAGCCAACACGTTTTAAATTTTTGTACTCTTTACAAATGCTATGTCGCACTTCTTGAGTGATTTGAAAAGGACAAGAACCAATCATGTCAATGGGTCCAAAAAATATATATTTTATGTCCACCACAGCTACATCTTCTTTTTTTGGCCAATCCAGATAATCAAGGGAATCTTGTAAAAACTTAACTTTAAAAAAATGGTTAGGCCTAACTTCTATTATTCTGCCGATAAACCATTTTTCAAAATAGAAAATGGCGTAATATTTTTCTAATGAAACTGTTATTTGTTTGGTAGTTTTGGTTGAATTTTGGAATCGAACACGAATTAGTCTGTCGGAAGATAATTTGTTTTTGTATCCATCAAGTAGCCAACACAAAGAAGACTTTTTTATTTTAATAATTTTATTATTTACTTCGCATTTCACCAGACTTCTGGTATTTGTTTTATAGTCTTTGCATTTCATGTTTAAAAAATCACCAAAATCGTTTAGGTAATTTTTATTTATTATGCCTTGTTCATGAGTATCATACATTACATTTTCTGGATATTTTTCTTTGTCAGTGTCACAATCCTCATTTTGAAGATCAGTAAATTTAACTAATATAATATCTGTAAATGCTTCATCATTATCTGATTCTATTCCCAGGGTTTTTAAAGTATTTTTTGCATCGTCTAAGGCTCTTTGAATAATTTTTTCTATGTCTGAATTAGATAAAAAGTTATTTTTTGTTGGAGTGTTGTGTCCTAATTTGGTACTTTTTTTCTCTCTTGGAAATACAAACTTCTCAGATAACTCATCTACTGTTTTATTTAAAAATTAATTTGTTTTAATTCTGTTAAAAATGTCTAAGAGGCTAAAATTCACTCTGAAAAGAACTAGGTTCTAGATTTTGGTGTGGCTTGTATGGTGAACTATAAGTTAGTCATGAGCCACAATAGATCCATCTGGGTCGCGGTGGAGGGCGATGAAATCATCCCACTCATTTTCAACCTAACCTAATCTAACATTCGAGAGTCTATAACCGTTTGAGCCTTGTGCTTCCTAGGCTGGCCCAAAATTGCTCTGATAATGTAGGAAAACCTCCGAAACAAGTATCTTCCGATCAAGACATTAATTTGAATTCAAGTCCAACCGATAAAAAAATAAAAAATCAATTATAATTGTTGACTGCTAAAAAAAGAATTGTATAAATATATCGTAACTACCTAAAATTAATGGTTTTTTGAATTTTTTATAAAATATGTCTATCCTTAATCATATTTGGAATCATCCTGTATACACAATTTATAGGATTTTTTAATACAACAATAACAACGGTACTCTAACATTTTATTTCTGACTGTTTATTTCAAATTACCATTTCACGAAATTTTAAAAACTTATCTTATATAATTCCGCACCGCCCTGTATGTATCAAGATTTTCAATGACCACTAAACTTAACACCCTAACACCTACAAAAGAGCCTTATAATTTAAGTAGTCTAGAGGTCAAGGTCAAGTACTACAATAAATCCAAAATGTACGACATTCGACGGAAAATCATTTTGTACAAAAAAAAGCGCGGGATTCTTTTTCAAGCAAAAATTATACAAATTCGAATATACATATCCTTAATTAAATAATCGATTAAATATCCAATCAACTTACCTCAGAAGTAAAAACAAATCCACAACACAACGAGCTATATAAACTGCTAAAAATCAATAATATTTATGAACACAACCAATACATTGATCTCTATTAGTCAAATGATTTTATGGCCATTCCGTTAGCGAAATCTCACTTATTTGAAATTATGTCAAATGTATACCATAGAGAAAATAAACATAGAGAGACAGATAACAGAGGGAATGGGAAGTGCTTGTGAGTGCATTGGGAGTGCATTGGGAGTGTATTGGGAGTGTATTGGGAGTGCATTGTGAGTGTATTGTGAGTGCATTGGGAGTACATTGGGAGAGTGTATTGGGGGTGTATTGGGAGTGTATTGGGAGTGTATTGGGAGTGCATTGTGAGTGTATTGGGAGTGTTTTAAAAATGGGAGTGTGTTGCACAAAAATTTCGCTTGAGATTAACCCCTCGGTTAATATTCTATGTATAATCAATGAAAATGTTTAAAACGGTTAAAAATATTATTAAAATAAAGTAAAATAATTAACATTTTTAGTTAAAATATAAACCAAACGTTAAAGTGTTCCGATACAATAACATTTTTATTGCGAGTTTTATGTAATTTAAAGAAACGTTAATATTAAACGTGTATGTATCTTAAAAATCACAATTACATAATAACTTTTAAAAAGAATATTAAAATAAGCTAGAATAAATAATATTAAAATAATGTAGATATTTGGTTTACATTATTAACCAAACGTTAAAAAGGTGGGGAATACAATAACGTTTTCTATACGACATGTATTTAATTTAAACTAACGTTAATATTTTACATATATTTAACAAAATGTTTAACTTTTAGTTACATAACAACGTTTAAAAATAATATTAAAATTTGGTTAACGTATATAACGTATATATGTAGTTTAAAAAATAAACTAAACGTTAAATTGTCTCGATATAACAACGTTTTTAATACGTTTTTACGTAATTTAAAATAATGTTGATATTATTTAAAAAAAATTTAACTTTCGGTTTATTTATAATATCAACCGAGATAAATATTAAATGTTAATTATAAACGAGAAAACATTATAAAAAAAACGTATTATTTTATCAAATTTTCAACATTCAGTCACAAATAGTTAAAAAAAATACGTTAGAAAATAGTATTTTATAAACGTTTTTCAACTAAAATTTCAACGTTGAATTTCCTCATATACGGCTCAAAAAATTTGATATCTGAGGTTGTATTTTAAGTTTTAAATCATGCACAACTTTTTATACTGAATAATTTTTTTTGATAAAACTAATAATAAAAATGTTTTCCATATGTAGGCAACTTACGCAGACACACTACATAAAAAATGTATTAAAATAAAAATTAAATGGCTAGCCGAGGTGGGTACACTATTATTTATCAATCTAATTATAATATAAAAAACAAATTGTACTTTTTTAAATAAAAACGACAATTTCAAATATCATAACAATATAATGTAAAGACTATTTTTGCGGAGAAAGATAAATAAAAAATCTTAGTTTATGAAAGTTACATAATATTTAAAAACCTAGCAAGCTTCTCTTGTACGGCACTCCGAATATAATTTTAATTTTATGCCGAATGGACCTTCTCAGGTAAAACTAAAGAGGTGACATTCATTACAATATTGGTACTGGTCTTTGAACGTCCGAGTTGCGAAGAGTATTTAATCTTCCTGTAGCCTTACGCCCGAAATGCGAAAAATTAAGTATTCCGCTCGAGTTGCGACGCACGATATGCGCATAAATCTTTCTTCTAGATCTGGTGCCCGCATTACTTGCATTTTTCAAAACTGTAATGTTACCAAGTTTAAAATAATGCTCTGAAATAGTTCTGCTACTGAAATCACTTTTTTCCGAAATAAAATTTTTCTGCTATAAGAAGTACGGCCGGAAAACCCATTTCCCGAACGTGTCCCATACTTTAGTCCTTAAGTAAAATGAACAGTCCTAATTTATATTCCGGGGAGTCACGCTCGAATCGTCCTTGCGAAAATTAAAACAAAAGGCCCCGATTCAAAACGGAATTAACAAAACCTGATGCTCTTGCTCTCGTGCTCTTGTAGTTTATTTACCTCATTAGTAAGCAACCCGTAAATTTTCAATAAAATCGTATCCCCTATAGCTATTAGAGTGGGTACAGTTTCTTGTAGATATCCAGACGCTGCGGCATCTGGTCCAGAAAGAACAACCTCCGCTATAATATTCAAGATTACATCCTAGGAACATTAGAACGTTTTCCTTATTGTCGAGAGAGCAGAGCACTTTGGCTGCAGATGGGCTTATTCAAATAATTTGACCCGGAAATTTTGTATTTTGCTTATATACACTAAATTATTCGGAAAATCCAAGAAGGCAAAGAGTTAATTTTTCAACAGGATAGCGTCGTTTATATATAAAACTAACATTACTAATTTATCAGTCCGCCATTTTAAAACCACTAAAGATGTTGAATTACTGTGTTCAACAAAATGCTTCTACATAGGTTCTGAATGATTTCTGTCAATTTAAAAATTTTTCGATAACTGATTTTAAAATGGCAAAATTTTTAAAAATGGCTAGATCATATTTTAAGAAAATATAATTCAACACCTGCCATTTTAAAAATAGTAAACATATTGAATTACTGTTGTCAATAAAATATTTCTACGTTTGTTTTCTATGATTTTTATATATTTGAGAATTTTTTGGTAACTAGTTTTAAAACGGCGAGTTTTTAAAAATGATATGGTCACGTCTGTAGAAATAAATAATTCAAATGTATCATCCTGCCATTTTCAAAGCAGTGAAGATACTGAATTAATGTTTTCAAAAAAATATTTGTACGTCTGTTTTATATTATTTTTGTAAAAAAAAGACCTCGCTTATGGAAAAGTGGCGACTGTTAATGTTGGAATAGATATATCCAGTGAAAATAAGGCTGGCTCGTCAGTATGTGCGTTTAAAAGATTTATTAAACATGAAGGACAATAAAAAATGTACCTATCATAATTGACAACTATATAAACTTGATATAAAAGAGCCTAACTGATATATTATACTAAGTGCTAACTTTACTTAACAAATTAGACTGCTAACTTCAACACTTTCCCTTGTTAATTAAACTTAAACCCATTTTTGTACACAAAATCTGTAGTCGTTTCCTTTGAAGAGCCTTGGTCAATATATCAGCCACTTGCAATTCTGTCGAAATTTGCTCAATCCCTAAAATGCCTTCAATGACTTTTTCTCGAACAAAGAAATGTATCGTAGCTATATGTTTCGTTCGCCGATGAAACTCAGGATTTTGAGCAAGTTTCACTGTTGCAGAGTTATCAACTCGAAGGATACAATTTGTCCAAATAATGTTCTTAACCAAATCACCTCCTTCGTTGCTTCACTAGCTGCAACAATCTCAACTTCTGTGGTGGATGTAGCTACCATTACCTGCCTCTGACTAAGCCATGAAATAGGTCCACCTGCATAGGTTACAACCACTCCAGTAGTTGATCTACCTGTTTTTGTACATCCTCCAAAATCTGCATCACTATAGCATTCTAAAATTCTTTTATTTACATGTGAAGAGTATACTATAATACCAAGCTCAAGAGTACCTGCTAAGTACCGAAATAATCTCTTGACTCTTACTACGTCTTCTGAGGTTGGATTTTCTAAATTTCTTTTTAATTTTGATCTGTCTCTTAGACTATGTCTAGACGATGTTGGCATATCCTCGTAAAATTCTTCTTTGTCAACACTTTCTTCTAGATCCGCTTCAGATCCTAAATTCTCTTCATTTTCTTGATATTCTTCTTCGTCATCTTGATTCGCTTCTTCCTTGGTATTTTTCTTTTGAAAATCTCTTAATGACAATTTTATATAGTCTATAGGTTTTTCTTCGTCATCGTCTTCTTCTTCTAGTTTCTGTTCAAATTGTACCCTTGGACATTCTTCTGGTTTCTGTTCAAATTGTACCCTTGGACATTCTTTTGATTTCTTTCGAAATTGTACATCTCGAGACAGTACAACCTTCTAAGTTTCTTTTACCCAAATTCTATATCTTTCGTC